AGGGTCATTATAAGTCAACTCGTCAGTCCACGTTACACTTTTCTGACAAAAAGTCACTGCATGTTCCAACGAGTTTAAGAGAGAGAAATTTTAAAGAAAATTTATTACTTTACATCAATATGTATTACTTTAATTTAAGTTTCTCTCTCCTCCTTTATTTTATAGCACATAATCATATTTTCTCTCTCTCGTAGTCACGCTTTATAGAAATTTGCAGGAGAGATTTTCTCTTTTATCTATATTGGCTATTAAATACAATTAGTAATTAATTAATTTTCCTGGATCTAAACGAAACTATCAGTTTCCTAAAGTATTTAAGGAGTTTGGAAATATTTTAAAATATTTACTTTATTCCACTTACCAAAAAAAATTTCTTCCTTCTTTACCAAATGTATATATATAACTTTGTTAAAAATAAACTTTTGATTTGTTTAGCTTCCTCGATTTTCAAATCAGTTTTGTTGAGATTTTAATTAATTGAATTTCTGTCTGTTAGAGTTGCAGCAACACATGTGCGAGACAATAGTTAATTTCAAAAAAAAATTTGTGAAGAAAAGAAAACGAAAAAGTGGGAGAAAAAATGAAGAATCCTAGCAGTAGGGAAAGAAGGAACATAGCAGAGATAGACGATAACATGCTGGCCAGGCGTGAAGAATGACCTAATTCTATCTTGCAAGCTCCGCCACCTCCATTGAAGAGAGATATGAGCTCGCAGACACGGTGAGGGAACACCAAAGTGCCAAATACAAAATCAGTTAGTTTAGTATTTTTTATTTATTTTTTTCCATCGGTAATTTTTTTTTGGCTACTATGCACTATTCGCCAACTGAACTTTTACGCTGACAATTTTTGGATTCGACATTATATTCAATAGTTTTATGGTGAATGCATTGGTATTTTCATATTTTATATTATATGTATTTGAATTTTTTTTTAAATCTTTTATTGGTAATAAATTTTATCAAAAATTAATAACGAGAAGAGAGAGAAAAGAGAAAATCATATATAAATTTTATTGGTAATAAATTTTCAAAATCAGATACACTCCTTACTTTAGGAAACCGACATTTCCGTTCAGATCCAGAAAAATTAAATAATTATTAATTGTATTTAATAGCTAAGAGAGAGAAAAAAGAAAATCTCTCATACAAATTGCTATAAAACGATTATGAGAGAGAGAGAAAACGTGATTATGTGCGATAAAATAAAGCAGGAGAGAGAAAGTTAAAATAAAGTAATAAATATTTATGTAAAGTAATAAATTTTTTTTTTAAATTTCTCTCTCCTAAACTTGGTGGAACATACAATGACTTTTTGTTAGAAAGGTGCCATGTGGACTAACGGGTTGACCGGCCAAAATTGCTACGTTGTGCAGCATGTTACATGGCCTCAAAAAAGATACCATATGTGTAGACCTAACTTGCTACGTGTTGTAGCGAGTTAGGTGATGTGGTATTTTGACAAATTTTTATTGGTACATGACAATTTGGTAATTTTTTTACCAACACGTGGCAAAATGGTTGTTGTCCTTGAGAAATCACACATTACAGGGCCCATTTGTGTGTTTTTTAAAAAGGAAACACATTTTTAATTAAAAAAATATCAATATTTTTTTTTAAGATTATTATATTATTTAAAAAAAAATTAATTTTAGTATTTTTATCATAAAAAAAGAGAGTAACCTTTAACCTTGCCTATTAAATTTTCAGCGGAAGAGCCATCAATAACTTTCTTTGTAACCTAATGATACTTTTCTCTCTATACCTAACAAATGCCTATATTCTAGAAGGTGCAATAAAAGGAAGGAAATTTTTTATTAATGACAATCCTATCCAGACAACTAAGCAGTTGGACTTAGGCCCCCAATATTCTTAAGAGGTCCAAAAGTACACCCCTATCAGGTAACCCATCTATAAATAAGGGGTTAAGCCAGTAAGATATACACATTCTAAATTCCCTCTCTCTTCTCTTAGTTGTTACTGTGTACACACTCCACGTCTTGACTATGTCTTGTGCACTGATTTGTCTACCGTCAAAGATATCTCATTCATAAATATCTGAGAGAAGGCACATAGATCCTATATAAAATATACCAGCCACTGACTGGACATCTCTATCTCTCAGACAGCAATTAGTGATGCATCAAAAAAAGATGTCAACATTATGATCTAAGTGGATTTGAGTTCAATTTAACAAAACTTTCGGCAATGTATTCAAAAAAAAAAAAAAAACTTTCGGCACAATGGCCACTGTAATCTTATTGCAGCTCATGAATATTCATAAGCTACCGAGATTGTGTGCATAAGCATAGTACTTAAGAGCTTTTGGCAATGTTGGAGTTAAATGTGGCATTATGTTGAATTGGCCTAATTAATTATGGTCATAATTAATCAAAGCCAAGTCCCTTTCTGCTTACCAAAATATGTAGGTTGTCATTTTCTAGTATGCAGTAGGATCAACTAATTTGAGCATTGAGTCAAACTATTTAGCTATTTGCACCATTTATATTAAACTAATAAAGGAACCTTTGAGATATAAGAAACAGTTATTACCTTGGCAGGTGACACACATAATTATGTATAATATTCTACTATTCTCAAAGATGACAGAAGTCAGAAAACGATATAATTCTTGGATTAATCATAACTTTCTTAATTTAATGATTTGATTGGTGAGTACAGTTCAGCCTTAACTGGAAACATCATGTGACTCCTGTTTATGCTGAATTTCTCTGCTCAGAAGATAGGAAATTTTTTTTGGCCAGTGAATATCTGATTAAAATATCAACTAAACAGCATGGCCTAAATACTAATTTCTTCTTAGGTGCTTATTTATGTGGTTTCATGGCTTTCAGATATAACTAAAGTGTAAACTGTTCTAAATTAGAATATAACAAGAAATGTTGAATATAGTGGGTGTCCAAATTCCAAATTTGCAGGCAATTGATGGTTAAATAAATGGATGTTTTTATTGATTCCGTAAGTTAATCAACCACATTGAAATTGCAAGCTAAGCCTAAAAATTAAATAAGTTACTTATTAAGGGCAATTTGCTTTATCCTTATGATTGTACCTCTCTGGCCAAATTGTTCTTTTGTCTCCCATATATGAGGTCCAACTTCAATTAATCAATCTGTACACAAGTCAAAAAGTATAGTGGAACATTTTTTTTGTTCTTTTGCCTTTGTTCTTTACTCCTTCGCAGTCCCATTATTATATCTCTTTCGCACATTTCAAGGTTAATTATAAGCCACACTACATTTCATAGGACTCTCACGGTTTGAAAGTGTTTAATAAGGCATATATGAAAACAATGGACTTATTACTTTGGTGACAACATCATTGTGTTTAAAGAAGGAGAACGCGCCTTTCATATGGGTCAAGGGTCTTTTTAAAGAACCAACGAGGGTCATTCCATATACTCACCACTAGTAAGCTCAGATGTCATTTACGCAAAGAATAATAGGGCCCCATTTTCTAGTTTCTTCATTTAGATTTTAGTCATTTGCTTTCATTTTCCATTTATACTAATCTTTCTAGCTAGCATATTGAGGTTGTCTTAACAAGCCAATGAGGTCGGTCACCTGCTCCATTTCAATGAAATTCCAAATATACCAAAATTTAGTAGGATGGGAGAAAAGGTTTATATATGAATACATTTTTGTTTACAAATTTAGAATGATTTTCATTGCATAATTAAAAGCAAAAAGTTGTAATAAAAGGTGGAAAAAGTGTCTAACTCATAATACGTAAGAGAATATATAATTAATGATACGTGCAAATAACATAACCCAATAAAACAAAGTTTCTGGCTATTGCACCATAGTATTTGTCTAGGGCATCCAGGAAAAAAAGTCATGTTACTTTGGGACACTACTTTCACATAACATATTATCTACGGGTTAAATGGATTTAGATCTTCTCGTATGAAAAAATGGTCATGTGATTATATTATTTGATTACAACCACTCATTTAAAAATTATATAATTTTTTCTCTCTCATCGCATTATCAATAAGTGATTGTAATTAAATAACATGATTACATAATTATTTTTCTATATAAGAAAATTCAAATCCAAGGTAAATACATCTCGTGTTAGTATAAAATAACTTTTTTTCCAAAGCCAATTATCTATCAATTTTTCAGCTAAATACATGTTCCACAGATGATTTTTTGCGGAACATGTAGAAAGAAGTCTCTGCATAAGTCATTTTTCCCCAGTGAATGAAACAATGAACTGCATGCAAATTACAGCTAGGTTGCCTCGTAAGGAAGACACCCCACATGATAACAACTTTTACTATAGATGGCTAGTAATTAAATGATGGGTATGAAACCACAGCCCAAAAAATCATTCATGGTTTTTTACCTTGTAATTTTTACGTGGGACCCTTTCCAATGCTGTCCACTCTTGACCTATTACAAGTTAAAACTAAAATCCTCTAATGTTTTTAATTTATTATAGAGTAAATATATTTTTTTTAGCTCTCAGCAAATTTTACGATACCCGCTTTAATCTGTAGCAAATAAAAAGGTCCATCACGGTCCTTAAAAAATTTAAAATGGATCCATTTTAGTCCTTTTGAGGACTAATATGGGCCTTTTTTGAATTTGTGAGGGACTATGATTTCAACTAAATGGGTCCATTTTGAATTTCTTATGAATCACGATGGATCTTTTTATTTATTAGAGACTAAAACGGACATCGTGAAATTTGATGATGATAAAAAAAAATATTTACTCTGACGGGCCTAAAACGAAACCAATCCAATCCGAAGACAAAGAGAGAGAGAGAGAGAGAGTTTTTCAACTTTTATTTTAACACATAGCATCAGAATGGCTTAAAAAGCACAAAAAGAAGCAAAAGTGAGTCACAGATTCCAGGGACTCAGGCTACTATTGAATAGGCAATATGCCCACAATTCAAGGAAGAAAACAAAACAGAGCCCACCTAACAAACAAGACCACAAAGAAAGCAACCCCACAATTAAAAATTCATTTTTTTCAAATTTTCAATACTAATTAAAACCACATTATTCTCTGCATTCTACAAAACTAGTTCCATACCTTCCCAAGTTCCAGTTCCAGATTATGTTTCATTCTCTTCTTAAATCTCAACAGTTAACACAAACACTCTCTCTCTCTCTCTCTCTCTCTCTCTCTCTCTCTCTAAATCATGCCTGTTGTCACAGAACACATCAAATGGAGAAGACCAAGAAACCAGTTCAGGCACTCCATTTCAGAAACTGATCCAACCCCACAAATCCCTTCCATAGTCCAATCTACTACCTGCAAATCCACAATCTCTTCTTTCCTCTCTAGTTTCTCCAACAACAACAACACCACATCCAATGAAACCACACATACCAGTGGCCAGAACAGGAACAGGAAGAAGAACAGCAACAACAACAGTAACAGTAACAACAACTTCTCTGCAGCAACCTTCAGAGGGCTTGGTTGCACCGCCGGTGCATCGCATGAGGTGTCGGTTCCGGGGGTGATAAGATCCTCCGCGGATTGGCAAGGGAAGAAGAGCAGAAAAAAGAAGCACAGAAGGAACAGTAACAGCAACAAGACATGTCATGGGGTTGTTGATGATGGTCCTAGTCATGGTTCTGCTACCTGTGTGGACTTTCAGGATGTTTGGTGTGGCCCTGGAATTGGGTTCTCAGCTGATGTGGATTGTGTTGTGACCAGGAAGAATGTGTCTGCAAGAGGAAACCTTGATGCGGAGAGAATAACACACAGGGAGGTATTCTGATTTCTGCACTATGATCCTTTCCTCTTGAATGACATGGTAGCTAAATCTATTCAAAAAGTTTTTTTTTTCTCCTAAGCATTTTCTATGTCTAATTTCGTAGACCCTGAAGATTTAATTCCATATGGTATGCTGTACTAATAAATTTTACATCTTTTGTTTGTAAATGTGTGTGTTATCTTCATATCAAGGTAAAAAATTGATCTTTCCTAAGCATTAAGACCACCATTCTTTTTAGTCTTCCTTCCCTTATTGATTAATTTCTGATTTTCTGCTCACAGATTACAAAATTGTATATATATATATATATATATATATATTGTGAAAATGGGCCTAAAAGAAGTATTTGTTCAATTTCAACTAGGACTGCTTTTGTTTTTTTTTTGGTTTTTAAGTGGAAGTGTTTTCAGATCAACATCATCATCTATTAATAGCTGCCACCTTCACCTAATGCGTGCACGCATTCCATTTTATAGTTATAGACGCATGGGGGAGTTGTTGATTGGTTTATTGTGGACCCCTTGAGTAAGGGGAGACTGCAATAATATGTTCATTGATCGAAACTTGAAGTGTAGGAGGACACTCATTATCACTTGTATTATGGAGTTGTTTGTTTTATTGTACAATACATAACATAGACATGTGAATGACTAGTTGAGTTTTTTGTTCCTTTTGTGTTAAGTTTCGTCATTGTTTTGGTATCTGATTGCTTTGACATGGTATAACTGTGCTTCATGAATATATTGGCAGCGTCCATCTTATTTTGGAAGGCGCACTGTAAACCCTGAAAGCATTTCGTTTATGGATGATGATCCTGACATTTTTAACTCACGCCCTGGCTTAGAGTCTTTTGGCAGTGCTAGATACTATCGCCACCTTCCACATCCTTCCTCTGATGGTCTTGCTGAGGTTGGTTTTGATCTAATATCCTTTCATGTACTCTTGTTATTGTGGATATTGATCAGTGCATGGTTTATAGAAACTTAGTGCAAAATTTGGGTTATTTGTATCAGAAGCTATTGCTTGGTATGCGGTCTGTCATTGAATTTGATTTGACTGAAGATGATAATTTACTCTTATCATCTTTTAATTTTTCAAAAATAATATTAAACATTATAAATTATGGGATTCTAGTTGATACTGGGTACCTGTGGATGGGTCTTGAATTATCTGATCATAATTTTTATTGGAAATTAACTTACCATACCATTATTTTTTCTTCAGGTATGAATGAGTGTTGCTTTTTTGTGTGGCTTTCTTTTTTGTTGCTAAAAACGAGTAAGTGTTATGATTTGCAGATATAGTTAGATAGGATCATGTTGTGTTAGGCAACATTCTTGTTTTAAGTGTGTTGAAATTAAAATGTGAAAAAAATGGTGAAAATTGCAAAGTATCCTGAATTGCATAATATAGGTGAGCTCCAAATTTTGCATAAATAGTACCAAACACCAACTCAGCCTGTTGGTATTCTCTGACTAAAGTGAAACGGTTGATGAAGCAAGGGTATGTACTGCTAGTCTGCTACGTACTGTTCAAGTTAGACCAAAAATAGGTCTTGGGTTTCTTTGTTTAGATATATAAAACTATTAATGTAGCCTCACCCAACAGTTTAAGCTTTTGGGTTGAATTCTTCGCACAGGTAAGTGGGCCTGTGCATTGTCCACCCTTCAAGCTCAGTGGGCTTTCGTGTGAGGGGACGTATTGAGATATATAAAACCATTAATGTAGTCTCACTCAACAGCTTAAGCTTTTGGGTTGAATTGGTTCTTTATATTTCTATAAAGTAATGGTCCTTTGGAGAGGAAATTAAATGCAGCACTAACTGCACTGTTGTCCGTCTATAGCAGAAGAAAACTATCAATTAGTGCAGACCGTAGATTGGCCTTTGTTTTTTTTGGTTGAAGTAATCATTATGCCAAAACTTCCTATATGCTATGGTGCCTGCATAAATCCTTTACCACAGACTATTCTATGCCAAAATAGAATGACGTGTCTTGCTTTGTGTTGTGATGAAGCAGAGGTGGACAACTATAGGTCTTTAGAAAAACAAACAAAATCTGGTCCAATTACTTTGTATCCATAACCTGGTTCTTAGAAATTGGCAAGAAATAAAAAGTACTTGAAGGGACACTTGTTTCATATTGTAGTTGTCTATGTACGATGTACTTAAATTTGAGCCATTAAATTTTTCGATGTCATTTTAATTTGACTGCTATGTAGATTCTCACTATTTTGGGCTTTAACGTTTTAGCATATTGTTAGATGGTTTTGTTTACCCAAAAATAGAATATTTATAGATAGATTTGCATACTTCCCTTATTTTTATTTTTTATTTTTTTTTATGTTTATCATTTTTTCTTCTATGTTCGAATTATTGATGTAACAGACTAACTAAGGCTTGTAAGTGAAAGTTTTGATTTATTATAATGAGAACAAACACGTGCAAAACAGCATCATGGTATAGATATAGAGGTAGAATATTCTTACTACCAATTATTTCTACTATCAATCCGCTACCACTCTAATCACCGTTGGATTCTACTTTTCAGCCGATAATCTCTGAAAAGTTTCTGAATAACTTTTAATGTACTCCTCGGAGTACATAGTTATATTAGAGTGGTAGTGGATTGGTAGCACAAATAATTGGTAGTATGAATATCCTACCTCATAAATATAAGACATCCAAGTCTTGTCTTAGATTTTACTGTATTCAAGAGGTATTATTATTGAATATCTTGATTGTTGTTGGAACTTTGAAGATAATGATAATTCAAGGAAGACTAATAATGGGAGGACGATTAAATTCACATGACCAATTTAGAGACTGGAGACTTGATGTTGATAACATGTCATACGAGGTGAGTTCTTTCTCCAGTTGAACTTTCTATAATTTTTAATTTGTAATGATTGTATTCCCAAAATATTGATACACTGTCTGTGTCCATGCATTTTCATTTTATGTTCATCAAAATTTCTGGTTGGTTTAACAGCAATTGCTTGAGCTGGGTGAGAGAATTGGTTATGTGAACACTGGACTTAATGAAGATGAGATGGGACTCAACATAAGCAAAATTAAGCTTTTAATTTCAAATGATGCACCAAAGCATCAAACAGAAAAAAAGTGCACTATTTGTCAGGTGAGTTTATATAATTAAATTAAGTTTCAGATTTGAAAAGTTCATCAACACATTACTTTACCTTAACTTGCTTTATATAATATGCAATGCTCAGTAAGCTTTTTAAAATGTTTTTAAATACTTTTATATCATGTTAATGTATCTAGCTTCTTGTGTTTCAGGAGGAGTATGAATCAGATGATGAACTGGGGAGGTTAAGTTGTGAACACAGCTATCACTTTCAGTGTATAAAACAATGGCTTGTGCATAAAAACTTCTGCCCTGTCTGTAAGCAAGAAGTTGTGGTTCGACGCTGAGTGGCACAAATCATATAAAGTTTTTTCTCCTTAAATTGGTGTATAGTTTTTCATATGCAATATAAGCAATCTTCATTGCATCTTTTTAAACTTATGGTTTTCTTTGTGAGGAGTGGCATGATATATATGATATTCGGTAATGGTGATGCTTGCATGTTAATATATTATACCCAAAGGTGGCCCTAGTTTGTGGGCAAATAATTCTTTTCTTTCTACTGATTTGCATTCTCATTCATAATTTATTTTTCTTTTATGTATGTGTGTGCTCATTTGTTATTCTTTTTGACTGAAAGGTTTTCAATCACATGTTCAAATCTGAGAAATAATTTGTTTGCATTTATCCAAGGTAATGTTGCGTACAAAGTAATATTTGAGAAAAAAAAATCTATTTTTTGGATTCGAACTCCATTTTTTAGTTATAAAAGAGCAGTTTTATTAATAGTGAAGGCTTGCCCTCGGAGGTAGCATTAAACTGATGTAAAAAATTTAAAACCCTTGTTTTAGTGGGGTCGTGTTATCAAATTCCAAACTACTTTTGCCGTTTTGCGCATACACAATTGATTCCATCTAAAAAAAAATTCCAAAATTGTTTTTTTTTTTTTTCAAAAAAAAATCATAATAGACATATTTGAATTTTTTTTTGTTTATTGACTTACATAATTTATGTACTTGCAACACTAATATTATTTCAATTATGCACTATACAAAAAAATTTGATTTGATTTATAGTTAGAAATATTTTTTTCTGAACCTAAAGCTTCGTATCACGATCATTATATTTTTGTTTGATCCTCTATTGGATAATAATGTGATTTATTATTTTTATATTAAAATATTTAAAATATTTATTATTTTTTTAGATATTTGTGTATGTTTATAATTTTTTAATATATATTATAAAATTGCATATAATTATCGGATTATGCGGCTGAACCAGTAACCCAGTGACTCAGTACCTCGACCAGGTCAATGACCGGGCCGGTTTTAATAACATTGATTAAAAGGATGCTAACTTGATGCATTTGAGTCACCATAAGTTATTATAATTGCAGACGTTTTAGTTTTAAGGCTTTTTATGAATTTTAATAATTGCACACGTTTCAGTTTGCATGGCTTTATGTTTTGTTTATGGTTATTTCCGTTTTGTATCAACTTTTAAGATCATTGATAGTCCTTTATTGTCAGTTACTTTTTGTATTGCCTATTAAAATGTTTATTACAAGATGTGAAAAAGGGACTTTTGATTGTTGAAGAATAATAATAAAGCAAAAAACTTGCATTTTCTTGAAAGCCTACTTTCCCTACAATTCTGCATCATAACTTTTTGGGATGAGAATGTGAATTTGGATTTTAGGAAAGTAATTTTAGTGGAAAAATTATAATTTATCTGAGGAAAACTAGGGTTATTATTTATTCCACCTTAGTTTCTTTCTCTTTTCTCTTTTTTTATGGTTTTAAGCCTTCTTCATAGGAGAGTGTAGGAGTAGAGGTGGCAAAGTGGGTGACTTGTTCCGCCTCGCTATTAACTCGTAAAAAAATGAGCCAGCCTACCTCATTTTGTTTTTGAAAGTGAGCTGAAAAACTCGGTCTATTCTGTCTCGTTTGACAGACGGGGCTGGTTGGTCTATCAGTCCAAACTTGTTTGACACTGACTTACCTCGCTTTGCCTCGCCCGGTAGAGGTGGCAATATGGGTTGAACCCGACGGGTCAACCCGTCAAAATGGGACGAGTTGTCTTACATATTTCAACCCACCAACCCGCCCCGTTGGGTTGTGGGTCAAAACGGGTTGGCGACGAGTTGGCTTATTATTATTATTTTTTTTACTATTATGTAGTGTTTTATTTGTTTTTAAGCTTTTGTGATATCCAATTTTTTGTTATCTTAGTATTCTAGAAAAAATATAAAAGAAAAACTTTATTTATGACAAAGATAATTTATGTATGGAGATAAAAATAAGTTTGTAAAGAATATCTGACTAAATATTAACATACATTTAGACTTAAGATTGAAAAAAAACTAAGAGGAATGTGACCGCCAACCCATCATAAAACGGGGCGGGTTGAGGTTTTCAACCCAAATTCAAGAGGCGGAGCGGGGCGGGCCAGGCCAACCCACTTTTGGTGGGTTGGGGCGGGCCGACCCGTTTTGCCACCCCTATCGCTCGGCCATCAATATGACAGACGGGGCTGGTTGGTCCGTTAGTCGAAACTTATTTTATACTGACTTATCCCACTTTGCCTCGCTCGGTCATCAATCCGCCAAAAAATGAGTCAGCTCACACTGTCTCTTTCTGTGGGCTAGGCGAGATGGCCCACCGAGCCGAATCCGTTTTGCCGGCCGAGTAGGGGATGCCATACTCCTTATGTTGTGACAACCCCATTCTCTTTTTCTTTTGTTTTGTGTGTTTTTTTAAAATTATTTAGATATGTTAGATTTCAAGTTTATTAATATCTACATCTCACAATGACACATCGTGTGTCTTTATTGTTCTTTTTAATTGGGTTTTGGTTTTTCTCTTTTAGAACGTTTTATGTTAGTCATCTTGTGGTTATCTATCTTGACAGTCTTACAAACACGAAAGAGTTTCATATCTAGCTTGAGAAGAGGTGTAATACACTCTTTGATTTGCAATATTTTTTCGTTTTGATTCCCAGCTGTAAAAGCTGCTTAGTTATCAAAAGATTTCAGGCAAAGAATAGTGCTACTTATCTTTGGTTAGATACTTCGTTTAAATTACATATTGTATTTATGTTTTTTTCTCTATCTAAATTTGACATATTTTATGTACTTTTTTTTGTTTGAATCTATTACCTCATATATACTATCTAAATCTCTCACTACTAGATCAATTCTAGTGGCTTACATATTTTATCTATTTGTAAGCATCATTTCTATTTCATTCGTAATGGATTTTATTTATCATAAAAAATAAATAAATGCAGAATTAAAAGGCTGCTTTGTTGTATAAGAGACACTGTTAGTTTAAAACAACGTTGGCACAAGTGATAAGGAGCTTGTGTCTCTTAACCAAAAATTTCGAATTCGAGCACTGAGAACGAAAAAAATGATTTTGAAAGAATCGTCATTGCTTGAGGTCCAATAGTGCTCGAATCGAACTAGTCTGATGGGTGAACCATTTGAGGCGATTTAAAAAAAAAAAAAACAAAGTAGAAATTGAAGGCATGTCCATGAAGTCTTCCGTAACCCTAAACTTTGTACTCAACCCAAAAATTACAAAAAAAAAAACTGCGTTTGCTTAGAATGTATTTGGTTGTGTTGTAATATTAATAAACTTGCTTTCTAGATTAAGAAAAATGATTTATTGTTTCTTTTATCACAAAAGATAAAATTATGAGATGTAATTCCAAAATGGCTTCATTTTAGGATCACAACACATGAGAAACAATAAACCCTAGGAAAAATAACTTTTATTTGTTTGAGGAGTTTGACCAAGGTATAGAAGCATTTTTGTATGTTAAAACAGTTATTGAAGAGAAGTGAAATTTGGTGCTTCTAAAAGAAAGTTAGAAAAAAAAAAAAAAAGCCCTAAACATATTTCACACCAACTTCGCTCCAACTTGATTACAAATACCACCTGATTCCTACTACATGCTTTCTTGGCACTGGTAAAATCAGAATGATACAGTGCAACCACCCAGTATTTGTCCAGATCATCTTGTGTACTTATAACTACATGTGTAAATCATCTTTGACAAAATACAGGAACTTATGCATCTTCATCTTGATGCACAAAAGAATGAGGTATTTTAAAAGAGCAATGGACTAAGCCATGTCATTATGAATGAGAAATTCAGTTATACATGGATACAGTTCATCTGCTGCCTGCAATTGGAGGGTAAACAGTGACAAAGTTAAGAAAATCCATACATTAAAAATCTCAAGTTGATTCAAAATATACATGCTTGTAGCTCTTCCTCAACAGAATAATAATTGGAAAAATCATACCGAACGACCACCCACTAAGTCATAGTGGGCATAGTGTGGACCTCCAGGCTCCCCAAAGACTTTGTATGTAACCAGTTCCTCAGGAATAAGCTTCACCGTTTCTGCTTCACATTTATGATTATGCTCATCATAAAAATGAAATTATTTTTGCTTTGGAGAATGGAGAGAGAGTTAAGCATTTAATTGATTGGTTAGTGCAGTTTCAATACCGTATACAGCTTCAGGAGGGCAGATTAAGTCTTGGTCACCAGCAATTGCTAAAACAGGAACATTACTTTTGCGGAGATGGTCCTTGTACCAGAATGTTCCACTCCTGTCACGTAAACCACCTTTTTGGAAGACTGTTTTTAACTGCAAGAGAACCTTAGAAGGTACAGTACCTGCCAATCATGGTCCATTTGTCAATTGTGGAACAATCCAAAGTTGGGAAGAGAAATTTTTTGCAAGAGCATGCATAGATTACACTATTTAAGAAGTTGCATAAAATCCAAACTCAAGCATGCAAGATCTAACATTTATATAAGACTGCAAACTAAAGCCAAAGTAACAAGTTAGTGCTTGTCAATGTATGGATTTGATGACAAGAATGACACTTATATAAGTCTGCAAGATCTGGTAAGTTAAGATTGAATAGAAGGACGAAATCAACAAGTAATTAAGCATCCAAGCATTAACTTGCTAGAGTTGAAACTCAAAGTAGATAAATATAAATCAGTGTATTTAATTCTACCTATAAACTTCAATATTATCAAGGGACAAGGAGGAAGAGGACCCTAGCTACCCAAATCAGTTGACCGAAGCATCCACAAGCATTTATGATAAGGAGTTTATAAAGATGACCATTACAAATTGGTAGTGCTCATTGAAGAATTTAAATGCAGCTGACTAATATTTGCAATAAGCTGCAGAGTATGAATCACCTCTTATTTTAGATGAAACATGTAACAATGTACATGGAAGTCCCTGATGCCCTACTATGTAGAATTTCATAAGGAATTATGTTGAAAGGTACTCTGTAACAAGAAGTTGAGAAACAATGCCAGATGAAAAAAGAAAATTTGGAACCTACAGAAGTTTTTCATAACAAGCTTCTCAAGCAGCTTCTCATCCATCATGTCTTGAGCTGAAATCTGATAATTTAACCAAGATAAAATATACAGAGGACGGGTTGTAAGAGGATAGGCTGTAGCAATCAATGGTCCAACTGGAATAACAGGAATGTTTAAAGCCTGAGCAGGTTCTGCCTGCAAACAAAGAAACAGTCTAATTAGTTTTCTGTTATCTTCAGCTTAGAGAGTACATATCACTTGCATGGAATAAAATAAATACAATTTGTCACCACAATCAGTTTCTTTTATCACTTGCCAGGGGTAAAAGCAACTTGAGAGATGATCTTGAAGGTGTATAGTCAAGTGATGATCCCAAAGTAACAACTGATGCCAACCCAGAATCCTTTCCATCCAAACCTTGCATACAATTTTCATAGCAAATAAGAAATATCAATCAACACATTAATTCCCAGAAATAATTTGCAAATAGGGTCCTTCACTAATCACAACAATGTGGTTTATATTCTACTTAAGATCTCAAGCTGTCCTGAAAGTTCTTTACAAGATCAGACAGGGAGATAACATGCTTGGCGAGAGATATTTACATTGTTAAACATTCTCCACATAGGTTGTGGCAAAACAAATAAAATAATCTCTTATTTTATTTTAATGTAAACTAGTGATTTTTTAAATAATTTAAGCTACACATCTGTGGTTCTATATAAAAAAGGAATGGACATAATAATAGATGATCGTGTTCTATATAGTTTATAATGTCCTTCAAATGATGGACACTGAATTATATGCTCAATTGCAAAACATCGAAAGCACTTCTGTCTAGCATCATTGCAAAATAAAATGATTTATGCATTAAAGATAAGTTTTGAATATGACTATGGAAAATTCAAGAATCATGTGATTATTTCTTACAATGCAGACAAGGTTGTAGCTGGGTAATATTTAGCATGCTAGTATAATTAAAGGCTTGTAATATATGAAATTAAAATAGAAAGTGAAATATATAAAGCAATCATGACCAATTTTGTGTAAACAAGCTTGCACCAAAAAGCAAGCAAATTTGGATTTTGATAGATCTGTCAAACAAATCATGAATGAATAGTAACACAGCCCCATAATTACAATAGTTGCAGATGAAATAAAACAACAGATTGGTGGGACTTACAACAACGTGAGAGCCTTGCATACAACAAGATACCCCCCATTGAGTGACCAATTGCCAGCAATTTTCCATCCCTTGGTTGGCATTGAGCCCTTATGTATTCCATCTAATGTATAGAAGTATAAAACCAACAATTGATAAACAAATTTAATGAGATAATCCCAAATTCTATATGAATACTTGGTGGAACAAACAAATATTAAGATTACACAACAGAAGTAAAGAAGAGATAAAATACAGCTCTTGCCAAATTAACAGTCATGTATTACAAAGGAATGTCACCTCACCGCAGCTGGTACATCCTCTTCAAGATAATGGTCGAAGTCCCAATCATAATTGACAGCCAGCTCAAGTTGTTTCTGCAATTCTTCTAGAATGGCAGTAAAACGGTCTTGCAACTCAAAAACCTGAGCTGGGAACAATTGTTGACCTTCAATAATAGTTCGAAGTCTCTGACCAAAATGCTTGATTTGACTAATAATTGCAGAGTTTTCACCCCCTTCCAACAATTCTGAAAAATATTAATGTTCATATTGTTAGTGTTCATATCATTATACAATGTTAAAAACTACAAGTTCCCAAGATTACTTCACTAACCCCCACTGAGAAAGCCTGCAAGCCTGTCAGATATCCTTGTAAAAATATCCATCAACCCCGATGTTAGCTGTAGTTCCTCATCGTTAGTTACTATCCCTGATCCTCTCTTTTTCATGTGAGGAACTTCTGATTCAAAAGAAGCACCAAGGTTCTTAAATCCCAATGCTCTTGCAGAAGAAGCATTGCTTTTACCATCATTAATTGCAGAATCAATCTCAGACAAATTCTTGAGGTACTCCTCATCTTCCTCCAAGCTATCTCCATGTGTGCTCAACCCAGCACCTCGAACCTCAAGAATCCATGTATCAAATCCTTGTGCCGACATGTACCGAGCAAATGAAGACTGAACACAAACAACATGCACTTAGCACACATTCTTTAAAAGGAGAACATTGATCCTAGACTCAAACTTCAGATTTTAATTTGTGGGCACAATTTGTACTTAAAAAATCGAAGGAAATGAAAGTAAGAAACTAAGAAAACAATGTTTTATGGGTGCATAATCAGCATAATAGTCATTCCCAAAACAAAACAAAACAAAAAAAATTCATGGCTTTTCAATGGAAACACAGTCACCTTAGGAGAGAGATCATAGCCAATAGCATTAGTTGCAACCCCCGACAATAACAAAAGCGGGTGATTCCTCAACGGGGCCTGCAAAATAAATGCAAAAGCTTATACCTTTTATAAAAACTTAACAAAACCACCTTGTAATCTTGAGAAACTAACGTAAAACATGGTAAAAAAATGAAGCTTCTTTCTCTCTTTTTCGATAAAAACGAAGAAATTCAAAGATACCCAGAAGATATATCATTGCATTGCCAAAAGGGTATCCACAGAAAACGCAAAGATGAGAGCTTGCGAAGAGATGAACCTTGGGAGAAGGAAGGTAGCGCCACAGAGCGAGCTTCCAATCGGAGTTTGAAACAGAGACGCGGTGAAGCTCATCTGCGGTGCATATCGATCGGCGCTTTTCGCCTTTCCTCTCCAAATGCACGCTTTGGAACGCCGCATGCCTCACCGGAGACGGCGAAGACTCCCGCCGGCACTGAAAACGCGAGGAGAAGATTCGGGTTTCGTGCTTCGGGTCGGGTCGTGGCGGGTCGATGCAACAGAATCCAGCGCCAGTGTTAATTAAAAGCATGTTTTTTTTTGTGTGTGTTTGGTTGAACAGAAACGTTTTTTTTTAATTGTTTTATTCTTTGAGGGTATTTCGTTTCTTATTCTGAAAACTGATATATATAAACCAACGGCGGACGCACCCTCACTGCAAGTGTCTGCACTTGCAGACACAAACACAAAGTTGGAGAAAAAAAAAATTTCACATTAGATGGATGCTTCAAGTAAAAAAAAAGAAATAAGAAAATTAAAGGAAAAAGGTAAAAATATGTCTAATCCAACCGACCCACATAATTAAAAACTTAAAGTTTAAACCCTAGCCTTTTGCTTTGTCTCTCTCTTCTTTTCTTTTTTTTATAAATCTTATTAGCTCCAAATCTTAATAAACATCATCATTCCTGAAATTAATTTTCATCAAGTGGAGGAGAATCTCACGGAATTTTTCATGTTTTTTTGTGAAACAAAAGTGGCTAACTTTGAATCAAATAGACATCGACAAATGTTGGTTTTTGATCGATTAACTCTTATAATTATACTATATTTTACAAATGTCTTTTTTTGGTGTTTATAATTTTTTTAAATTATCATTATCTATTATTTCCTTAAAACTTTGGTTGATTCACCAAAGCTTTACTTTTGATGTGGAAACAAAAATTGAATCATGATTATGATCTTTAAAATAAAAAATAAAAAAATTGTGCAGACATAAAGAAAATATAATGGGTCCACCACTGAATTATAAACACAAGAAGAAGAAAAACCGTCTAAAATCTAAATAATTGTTTCCATCCTCTCTATTTTTTAAGTTAGAAGCTAATTAAAAGTATAAGCCAGACCAAACAGGTTTTGGAAAAAGCTCTTATAATGAAATTTTTTTTTTATAATGAAGAAAAAAGCTTAAAGCTAAAAGTTTCTAGGAGGAGCTTTTTTTCAGCTCTTATATACTTTTCTTGAATTATGTGCTTTTTTTTAAAATGAAGAGTTATAAAAATAGAGAAAGAGATAATTTTCTTGAAATATGTGCTTTTAAGTAACTTTTAAGCTAAATTTTTTATGTGATTACCAAACAACTTTTAACTTCTTTTTTTAAGCTCTTTTTTTAACTTTAGCTTATAAGTAGCTTCTAGCTTAAAAAGAAGAGGATCCAAATAGGCTCTAAATGTGATGCTTCCTTTTCCTCATTGTGATTAATTCTTAAGATTTTCCTTCCCAAAAATTAATTATATGTTTTTGTGATGTTGAGATGTTGTATTAATTAACATAGGGATAAGTTATTCTGCCTACTCTTATTTTGCCTACTTTTGTCTACCCCTTTCAATACCGTTAGATTACAATCTCATCCAATGGTGAAGATTTACTATATAAAATAAACTCTTTTACTCCTTTCTCTTTCTCACTGCCTTTCATTCTTTCTCTCTCCTCCCCTTTCTCTCTCTTCAACGACGCTTCAGCATCAAAAAAAGGTGTAAGCTTTTTTCTCAATTCATCAAGTCTAGTCATTGTTATGAGCATTTATATAAAAAATTAAAAAGGGGTGTCAAGAAGAAACAAACCCAGATGACCTATGTTATGGGATCAGGTAGGTCTGTTATTGGGCATAGAGAAAACAGAGATCATTTCCCCACTTCAAGATGAAAAATAATATAAGAATAAGGAGATAAATTGATTATTTCAAATTTTAAGAACAAAATAGAAACGTTACTGTAATCGTGGATTAATTCAAAGGAAGGGATTATTCGTAGTTTTCGTTTTTTTGTATTTTTGTGGTTTCAGTTGTGCTCAATTATATCAGATTCAAGGAATTTTGAAAATTATATTCATCCAGCAGAAGCCATTAATCATTGAATGAATTTAGATTAAAATATAAATTCAGGTTGTAAATTACACAAACGAGAAATGGGAGGAGAGAGAAAGAGTGTGGGAGGCAGTAAGAAAAAAGAAAGGGAAAAAAGATTTATTTTATTTCGCAAATCTCCACCATTAGATGAGATTGTAATCTAACGTCAAGAGAGGTAGGCAAAATAAGAATGGGTTCGCTTTTTCTGCAGTTATTGCAGATAAGTTATCTGCAGTAAGTCAATACGACGTCGTTTTGAGACGGAAATCATGGTGTTTTTGTAATTTTAATTTATTTTAGGGTTATAATAGTCTTTATATTTATAGTTTTTTAAGATTTCAATACTAAAACGACGTCGTTTTGGGAATAAATGCAGATAACTTCTCTGCATTAACTGCGGAAACATTTTTCCCAATAAGAATAGGTAGAATAACCTATCCCATTAATATAAGTGAAATGATAGTTACCTTTATTTCATATATTTTAAAACAAAATAATCTATTTTGAAAATATGTTTGATAAATAATCCCAATTTTTTTTTTTTTTGATAACAATAATCCCAAAATTTAACTTGTTGCTGATTTTCCTTTTATTTTTGGGTGGAAGGATAGGTACACATTTAATGAGTTTCTGACTTTGTGTTTGAGATTATTGAATTTGAATCAATTTTAGTTTTATATTATGGGATAAGATATTGTTACTACCAAATAATGTTACTACTATATCTTAGTTGATTTTTGCCAATTAATGATTATCATTTATTGCGAAGGGGAAATTATAGTTACTACTTCTTTTTCTTACTACTTTCAACTACTAAATCTCTCTTACTACTAAATCGTAATCGTTTATTTTCGTCAATCTAACGGTTGTAATTTATTGTGTAATATTTATTAATTAATTATTAATTTCTAATAAATTATAACCATTAGATTTACGAAAATCAACGGTTAAGATTTGATAGTAAGAGGTAATAAGAAAAATAGGTAGTAAGTATAACATCTTCCTATTGCGAATTAATAATTAATTGATGAGTTTGATTTGTGAAAATAATAACCGTTGATTGACAAAAATTAACGATTAAGATATGATAGTGATATTGATAGTAACATTATTTGGTTGTTATTTTACCCCATATATTAAAACTACATCACATGTGGACGATTTGTAATTTCTCATACAAATTTTCAAAGAGATTGCGAGGTGTATCGTAGCTCCAATCGAATACCGGTATTTAATTTCACGTAAAACTTTTATCTACCTAAACTGTTAAGAATGGTACGGGGAGCCCAAAACTCATTGCAAGGGATACATCCATGGGCCAAGCGATAAACCACAATAAGTGGGCTGACACCACATTTTAACCCAAAACCTTAAGGCTGTAGGTTTATGGGTCTTTTTGCACTTTTATAGTCATCACTTGGTCTATGTCTAGTAGATGTGGTACTTCTTTATAACTCATACTTGAATACTTCCAACATAAACTACATCATATGTGGTCAAAAATTTAACAATCGATTTATCGTTCAACTATATTTTTCTTCAAGGTTTTACTTAAAAAAATATTTTTAAAGGTTAAACATATTTTGAAAATATTTCAATCGATTTATTGCTTCGTAACTAATTCGATTCAGGGCAGTTCAGGATTAAGGCTTTTAAACCTCTCTCAATTCTGGATTTTAAAAATAACTGCATCTGATCCGATATTAATTGAACAGGTGTGAAAATATGTTTCTCAGTACTTTTATAGACTCATAATATCATTTATAACTTTAGAAAAACATTACCTGCATTTGCATCACATACATTTTTTTGAAAAATAATTTATCCATTAGACTTTGTTGGGATTTAATGAATGACTTACGTGGACTAGTGGACCAAAGAAAAGAAGGTGTATCACGTATGAGAGAGATGAATCTAATAAGTTTACGTTTCATAAAAGGAGTTTCTAATTATGTGATTTGTGGTTGTTTTTGACAGTGAAATGTATGGTCCTTGTAAGATATCATTAAATAGGAGATGGTTAGAGAGAAGTCTCTTATTTGGGATAACGACCAAAAGTGACATATTTTTTTTGCAAAAAATTATCTGAAAGCGACACTTTGTAAATTTTTTTTTCTGAAAATGCCACGTCATCTAACTCGCTGTAATACATGGCGGATTAGGTGTTGACATGTGGTAGAAAGTGCTTAGTATAATAACTCAACTTAATTAATTAGTAAAACTAGTGTAATTAATTAATTAAACATGTTTTAGTGAGTGAAATTAAGTATAAGGCTTAATTAAATGAATCTGAGTCACTTTGGAGTTAAAAAGTGTACTCAGTGAAAATTAAGGGGTATAAATGGGTACTGGCGAAAGTGCCCAAAATATAAAAATAAAAATAGTAATATTCCTAGAATAATATTCCAGACTTTTGGGTAAAGTTTGGTAATTATTGGAGTTGAATAGATAGATGAACCAATAGCCGCTTAAAGCCACTTAACCAATGTTAAGTGCCTAAAAGCCAAAAGAGAACCCCCATTTCCCACCCAGCCCGTCGACGCCAGAAACAGAAAAGAAGAAATGAAGAAGAAGGAGAAGGAGGGAAAGGGAGGAAGAGAGAACCTAGGGGGAGCAAGTCTCAACCATTTTGAGTGATTCCAAAGCCTAAACCACTCCAAATCTCCTCCTCTTTCATAATCCTTGCTTTGTTTTGAGTGGGGATCATTGTGGAGAGGGATATTGCCTCTCAAAAATTCGGCCATTGGAGAGATTTTGGAGTTTTGGTGGCTTCTACCTCCATGGGAGCTTGAGGAGCACTCACATCATTGTTGTGCAACCATTGGTGGTAAGATTTAAACCCTTGAACCTTATTTTCATGGAAAATTTCATGAGTAGGGTTTTGTGAATAGTAAAGTGGGAATTTTAGAAATGTAGTTGAATTAGCTATGTTCTAGGAATAATGGAGCTTAGAGCATGTTATGGAAAATGCTAGGAATGTCATTTAATCGGTGAAAATGAGCTTAGATAGCTAAATGAGTATACTTGTAAAATGGCAAGAATATGATGCTTGATATTGGATTTCTTGCATTGTTGATAAATGGTATGGCTTGGTTGATTGATGATTGTGTCCTAATGATGTCTAGGATTGAGACATTTGGACCGACCGTGAGTGATCAACCGCTTGAACAAGCTATGGAGCTTGAGTAGCTCATTGGAATTGGTAAGCTCACACTTGTGTTGTGTTTTGAATTGAGTAGTTGATGGTTGATTGTGAAATACTCTTGGATGCAATGTGTTGATTGCATTACACCATGTGTAGGTGTTGGTTTTGGAGTAGAGTATTGTTGACATTGGTGAAGAACAAAGGTCGACTGAAGCATTGATGTAAGCCTTCGGACCTTGGGTGTAATTCCCTTGACTGTTCTACCAAGCCCTGAAAGGGTAGAGGTTGTGATTGTGTATATAAATGCAATAAAATAGTGTAATGCTTTGTTATACGTATGTGTATGCATTTGGTGTGGCATAGGATGGTGTTTCCATATGTTGGTATGTGGCATGACGATGCGTAAATCATACTTGGTAGTTAGCTGGCCAGTAGGACTATTTGCATCTGAGTTTCCTTAGGACAGCTTGAGAGCTCGAGGGATTTCTCCTGGAGATGTATTGCACTTTGCATAGATATGTATTTACTGCATTATTATTGTTATTGCTATTACACTGATATGGAACTGTGGGGTGGAGAGATGCTCCAAGGACCCCTGGTTTACTGGATATATTCGTATATCTCACCCCGTGTTGTGGGGACCCCCTTTCAGGTAAGGATGCTGCAGGAGCCTCTGGTGGCAAGTGGCCATATCTGGATTATGCATGAAATGTGGCATTTCTTTTGAGTTTATGCATGCCTTTTGTAGTTGACATGTATAGGATTTTATTTTGAAAGCCCATGGTCATTTGTATATCTTGATTCATTGGATGAACTTAGCCTATGCTCATGCCTTTGGTTACACCTTTTGTTGATGGGAGCCAAGGGAATGATCATAGTGTTTTGTAAGCTAAGTTCTATGATTTGTAAAGGATGTGTAATGTAAATTATGCCTACTTGAAATTCAATATATGCATGCTTGTTAGGTATTGAGTTGTTGAATTGGTTGGGCTGAAAATCAATTAGGTACCCTTTGTTTAAATTGGTAAACGATGAGAAAACAAAGGTCATGCTGCCCAAATTCTAGCTAAATCTCATGAGGAGAGGTTGGATGAGTGCTAGGATTTAGTTTTGGGGCATGGACAATTGGGGTTTGTAATGGGGATGCATCTTCCCCTAGGCTTGGACTTGAGAAATGTGGGAATTGGAATTCCCTGGCAGCGCGCTTTAGCGCCCAGGAGAGCGCCCAAGCGTCCTGCTGCCCCTGCGAGTGCCAATGCATTCTGCCTCCTCGCGCTGGAGCGCCCTGGCGTGCGCTTAAGCGCCCTTTGCTGCAGAAAGTTGGGAGGCTTACTGCCCCCTCGTGTTTCAGCGCCCAGGGTGGGGCTTAAGCGCCCAGGGTTGCGCGCTTGAGCGCCCTGGTCCGTGCTTAAGTGTAACATCCCCGTCTCGAGCCGGTTCAATTAACATACACATGATATAAACAGAAACAGCGGAAGACTTAACTTACGAAAATATGAGCTAACTTTTTCTTTTTCTAACTTAATTCTTACTCGGCGTAAACGAAAATCGGGCAGAGTTTCCTCTATAAATCGGACAACTGGGGATTTTCCAATCCCACACAGAAGCATTTCCTGATAAACAGTTTATACAACATATCAATTCAGAAATACCAGATATCCAAATATAATCGAATACCCATACATGGGCGCATGCATAACATGGCTCCGTGCCACTAAATCTAACAACATGCCATCAAAACATAAACCTATCTGAATACTACATCATCATATAACGTTCCTGAATACTCAAATGTACATGCATCAAACTGACAGACATGTACAAAACATATACAGGCCATATACAAAATAAAGGATCAATATCATGATCCATCAAATGCGAAAATACTAAAATACATCAAACACTCCAAAAAGGTAGCAGCCTACAGCCACTCAAAATCCGGTTTGTCAACTGCCTCAGCCACGTGTCGTGTCCCTGCCTAGTGAGGACTCACCGGAAATCTGGGCACCTGAAAATGTGTCCCCAAAGAGGGGTGAGATTACAAATCTCAATAAGCTCCAGGTTTATCGAGAATTCTCCATACCCCTGGCTCACTCCTGCATGAAAGTCAGATACATAGTATACAAATACAACATATAGCAGATATCATAACAGAACAGAGCATATATCCATATCATATCAGAGGCGTGCGCCGTCATTCCCAAGGGAGGACCCCAAGCGGAAATCAACGCACGTGTTCTCGAGGGAGGACCCCAAAGCGGAACCAGACATAACAGAGGCGTACACCATCAGTCCCGAGGGAGGACCCCAAAGCGGACGTCCGGGTACTATACAATCAATGGCCAGAGATTGTTACAGAAATCAAATTACAGAAGTCATATCAGAGCAAAACATATCATGTTATCAAATAACTCTATATGAATGCATCTATACAAAGCATCTAAATCACAGTCATACAGTCCAACCATAGTTCACTAACCATGGTGGAGCACTCAAGCAGGAAAAGACTCCTTAAACATAGAGCTTACCTCTTGAAGCTTTACCAATACGCTTACTTGTGGAACAAGTTACTTTTATCGCTTCAAGAGATTTCCGATCCTTCTCAATCCTAGGCACACCTAGAGAATAATTTACAATGCATCAATAAAATGATGCAATACCATAATTATTTCATAAGCATACATTTTATCGCTTATTTTCCTTTCTTTGCATTTTTGCCAATCCTATGCCAATACACAAGTCTAGACCTCTTTATAACCGTTGGTGTTCTTTAATTTAATCAACCATTCCCTTAGGAATTTTCAACATAAATCATGCTATTTTTCTTCAAAACTCATCACCTTTATACAATTTATTACAACACATTTTATTTAAAATAAAATGTACAAAATATATCCCTAAATACCCTATAGGTCGAATCCTACAAGGGGAATTTCCAAAGATCCTTCTCTTTTACAATGCATTTTCGTTACTTCATTACAACTTGCAAACACCTAGGAATGCTTCCACTAAATTCCTATTTTGAGTTTAGACACCAAGTCCTTTTTACTTAGGCATTCTTACTAACTCATCCATTTTCACTCATTTCCAACACACTATACCTTCACAATACATAATATAATTTTTTTCCACAATAACTCCTACTCACTCCATGATGGCCGAAACCTAGGAGGAAGATGCAATAGGACTTTTAAATTTTTTTATCACATGTGGATGCTTTCTCAACACTATAACTTCCTAAACAACAATAATCCATCATAAATTTCACATTCTAACATCAATTATTTCCCAACAAAATATGCTCATCAATTTCATAACTTAAATCATCAAAATAATATCATGGAAATAGAGGTTTCTTACCTCTAAACACTTGTACAAAGCCTAGAGAGCAATCTCCAAGCCAAGCTCCATCCAAAAACTCACTTTTTCTCCTCCAATGAATAGTAACTCGAAAATGAGAGGAGGAATAACTCTTCACACACTCAACAAAACCTCAAATTGATGGTTGGAATGGGTTCATTGGGTGTTTTACAAGCAATTTCATGTGGTGGGTCTTTGAATTTGGAGTAGAAATGATGGAGAATCAAGGAGAAGAAATTCAAAACCCTACCCCCCTTCTCCAATGGTGCAGCTCGGTTTTGAGAGGGTGAGAGGAGAGAGAAACTGATTTGGGATAATGAGACTAAGTCACTTATAAGGCTAGCACATGTGGCCTTTTTTAACAGATGTTTTTCTATCGCGTATTTTAACTTAAATTGACCCGGAACTAACTTAAAACTACGAACATATTTTTATTTTTTCTAAAATCATTTACATTAATTTTTATCTGTTACAAAACAATATTCATAATTCACAGTATGGTTTCTGCACCGTTTTTGACGAAATGCACTGTGAATCACTAATTGTACTTTATTTACTTTTAAAACTTAACACTTATAAACTTATCATTTTCTTGGGCCTATATTGACTTGCTTGGCATATATTAGACTTTCTTATTCTTATTTCATCAATTATTTATTTCTGGACTCTACCGGTTGCTTAAACAGCAGTACAAAATACCCGGTAGAAACACTATTCACGAGATTTTCACGGAAAGTGCCAGACTATACAATTTTTCGTTCTGAACTCATATTTGTCATCAGAATTTTCAAATTATGTTCCTAAAATTATTTTGCTCATTTTAAGCTCTACCGGTTAATTCACAAAACTGTAAATTCTCCGGCAGAACGCACTGTTCATAACATAGTCATGATTACAGTCAAAATACTCGAAATCGCTCACTGAATCTAATTATGGCATTTAAATCCTTAAATTAAATCTCTAACTAAGATTTATCAGTTAGGGTCATTATATTCACCCCACCTTTTAAGGATTTTGCCCACAAAATCAAATATCAAATATACATATACCTGACATCAAACTCAGGATATCGCTGGAGAATTTCATTCTCCCGGTCCCAAGTGGCGTCCTCAGGAGTCAATCCTTCCCGTTGTACCTTGATCATGGGAATAGTCCTGTTTCTCAACACTTTTTCATCACGTGCTAGAACCTTAAACGGTCCCACAACAAACTTCAAGTCTTTTCTTACTTCGATATTGTCCGGCTGTACAATGTGGGATTCATCCGGCACGTATTTTCGAAGTTGACTGATGTGAAAAACACTATGCAAATTTGACAGATGTGGAGGTAAGGCAAGCTGATAAGCCACAGGTCCGACCCTTTTCATAATCTGGTAGGGCCCAATGAACCTAGGACTCAACTTCCTCACTCCTAGAGCACGCCCAACACCCGTAGTCGGAGACAAACGGATAAATACATGATCCCCTTCTGAAAATTCAAGGGGTCTATGCTTTGCATCATAATAACTCTTTTGGCGACTCTGTGCTTTCTTCAATCGATCCTTAATCATCATAATTTGATCGGTAGTCTCTTGGACCATATCAGGCCCAAATAACTGCCTCTCTCCAATTTCTGACCAACAAGTAGGCGCCCTGCACCTACGGCCATACAAAGCTTCATACGGAGCCATGCCCAAACTGGCATGATAACTATTATTGTAGGAAAATTCCACTAGAGGAAGATATTTATCCCATGCATTTCCCTGCTCTAAGGCACAAGCCCTCAACATGTCCTCCAGGGTCTGAATAGTCCTCTCAGTCTGACCATCAGTCTGGGGATGATAAGCCGTGCTCAGCCTCAACTGTGTACCGAAGGCCTGTTGCACTGCATCCCAGAGTCTAGAAGTAAATTTAGTGTCCCGATCACTAATGATACTTTCAGGAACACCATGAAGTTTCACAATCTCTCTTACATATATCCGAGCCAACTGCTCTGTGGAGAAACTCGTTTTAACTGGTATGAAATGTGCAGACTTTGTCAATCTGTCAACAACTACCCAGATGGAATCAAAACCAGCCTGAGTTCTCGGTAATGCTACTACAAAATCCATAGAAATACTGACCCATTTCCATTCCGGAATATCCAAGGGCTGCAGTAATCCAGAAGGTCTCTGATGCTCAATCTTAACTTTCTGACATGCCAAACACTTACTCACAAATAGAGCAATGTCTTTCTTCATTCCCGACCACCAGAAATTCCGTTTCAAGTCTTGGTACATCTTGGTAGCACCAGGATGGATAGTGTACTTACCCATGTGACCCTCAGTTAATACCTCATCTACCATCTGACCTTTTGGAACAATGATCCGATCCTTGTAAAACTTAAGACCGAACCTATCAGTGGACACAAAGTCCTGCTCTTTCATAGACTGAATCTCTTCATCAAGCAATTGAGCTTCTTTAATCCGCTCAACTAATGAATTCAGGACTACCGTAGTAGTCAATAAATGCGGACTATCTTCTGTATTCACAGGAATGTGGAG